ATATTTGACCAGGAGCACTTACAAAGTTCGAATATTACAATTCATTTAACTTCAGTGGATTCTCATTGGACATTAGTATTTTTACGAAAACATTTGATAACATCACCATAGAAATCTCGGTGTGTGTGGCCGTTAAGTGAATTATACTTACCTCAACTCATAATCAACTCACTCATCGTGAATCCTCGATAAGACATCAAGGAAGTTCCAGACTAGAAAGAATGCTTTATATTGCTTGTAAGTTTGTGAAACTTTTGTTTATAAATAATTGTTTATAATGATTATTTGTAATAACTGTTATTGTAAATTGTATTGTTGTGTGTATATTAAAACGTACTTGTGTTAAAAAAGAAAACTGTATATCAATCTTGTTGGCAAATATCATAAACTGATTATATATCGGCTTTTACTTAACTGCTCAATCCAAAGTGCAATTTAATTACCAAATTTAAAGTATCGTTTAGCTCGGTTTCAGACCATTTGAAATTCTAATATGTAACATAATAAATTGGGGTCTCGTGTCTGAGATCTGAATCATAGACAAAATTCGATCTAAATTTAAATTTAAATCACAATTGAATTTATATTTATCAGTGCCAACAAGATTTGATCATGTACAAGATTTTCTTGTATCACCCTTCCTTGAACAACTAGAAAAATATAAAAAAATGAATTGCTCGAAATTGCCAAAGTTTTAGAACTAGGAGTAAGATCAATGAGAAAAAATCAACTAAATCAGCGCATTATTGAAATACTAGTCAATGATGATTTGTTGCCTGAGGAAGCATTAGAGGAATACTCTAGTGTACCCACTAGCCAATCGAGGTTGAGTGTTAAAGATAAGTTAGAGATCAAGCTAAATTTGAAACAACTTGAGCTTGAACAAGCTCGTATCCAAGCCGAGAAAGAGAAAGAACAAGCTCGTATTGAAGCTGAGAGAGAAAATAAACGTCTCGAAGCCAAGAACGAACAAGCTCGTATTGAAGCCGAAAAATAAATTAGGCTGAAAGAAATGGAAATTAAACTCAACACCGATCGACCAAAGCAAAATGACAACTTTAAACTTAATCGATATGTTAAAGTACCACCACTTATTCAAAATGAAGTTGATAAATATTTCCAACATTTTAAGAAGGTTGCCCAAACCATGGAATGGCCCACTGATAAATGGGCATTATTATTACAAAGTGTTTTAACTGGTAAAGCACAAGAAGCTTATGCTGCTCTCTCTTTAGAAGATTGTACAAATTATGATAAGGTTAAAGCAACTATTCTCAAAATATACGAGTTAGTACCAGAAGCTTATCGCCAAAAGTTTCGAGGTTATCGGAAACAAGATAATCAAACTTATATGGAATTTGCCCACGAAAAAGAGGTTTATTTTGATCGATGGTGCAATTCTATGCATATTGGCAACAGTTTTGACAAACTAAGACAATTATGTCTAATTGAGGAATTTAAACTTTGTGCACGTGACGACCTCAAACTTACGTGGATGAAAAGAAAGTTCAAACAGTACAGGAAGCAGCCGTTCTTTTCGATGACTACACTTTAACACATAAAACTACTTTTCATAAAAAAGAAATTCCTACTATATTAACAAAAATCGGTATCTGTTCAATCCACTAAAGTTGAGGATCCTTCTAAAAAAATCCATCTCCTCTAGTTAGAAATCTTCTGAAAGTCAAGATAAAACTTCTTTAAAGCAGTCAAGGCTTGTCTGCCATTTTTGTAAAAAAAACTGGTCATCTTATGTCCGATTGTTGGTGTTTGAAAAAGAAAAAAAAAGAACAGGAGGCAACACCCAGTGTGTTTGTGTCCACATATGGACATAGTTTCACCAGATCACCCGATGTTGTTGATTTGGCTACTGATATAAAGGCTGATGTAATGAGAGAGGAATTTAGACATTTTGTGTCTGTTGGTTCTGTGCCTTTAATAAATGACACTGCCAATCTCATACTCATACGTATTCTAGTGATACTGGGGCGACTCAATCATTGTTGTTAGAAGGCGTATTGGCTTTAGATTCCAGTTCTGCTACTGGTGAGTCTGTTATTACTCAGGGTATTGAGGGTGGCTATGTTAATGTTTCTCTTCGTAATATGTATTTAGCACCAGACCTAGTTTCGGGACCAGTTGTGGTTCGAGTAAGACCTACTCTGCCAATTAAAGGTGTATCATTATTGTTGGGAAACGATTTGGCTGGGGGAAAGTTGTTGCCGAACCTACAATGGTTAATGAGCCGATCACTGTTTCATCTAAGGATGATGTTGACGTTGAGGAGAATCCCAATGTGTTTCCCTCGTGTGCTGTGACTTGAGCTCAGGCTAAGAAATTAAGCCAAAAACAAATAATAAACATGAATTCAAGGACAATATTATAGATTTGTCTCAAACATTTTTTAGATACGACGAGGATCTTGTGGATAACTGTCCTACTGATGATTCATTGGTGAAGGACAACGATGGACGTGATGGATTTGATTCATTTAGTGAAGTTCCATTTACTAAAAGTAAACTGATCACTGAACAAGAAAAAGATCTGCAGATCTCTTCACTATT